CTCCTCCTCCTCCTCCTCCTCCTCCTCCTCCTGCTCCCCATCCCCGCCCCCAGGCTGCAGGGCGTCCCTCCCCTCGGCGGCGCGTGACAGCCCCAGACCCCCTCGCGCTGTGGAAAAAAGCACGACGGGATAAGTGTTTTGCCGTTTTCGGCCTCCGGGGGCCCGCAACGGGCCTCGGGAGCGTCAAAAAACGATTCAGGATGAGAAGCCGGTCCCGGGGAATGGGTCCAGACCTCTGGAGGTCGCGTCGTGAAAAAATCATGACGTCGGGGGTCTGGGGTGAGTGACCCTTCGCCGGGCTGACCTGCTGTAGGGGTCGCCCCATGCACTGGCCTGTGCGCTTGGATGTGGGTGGTCCCCGCGCGGCCCCCTCGAGCCGCGCACCAGAGGTCGCTCTTAACTGCCTGCGTGCACCCGAGTCCATGGCAGGCATCGCCCCACCCTCCGCCCCGCCACCATTGCAGCCTCAAGAGCAGGGGACCCAGACCCCTTCGAGCCATGAAAAAAGTCACGACGGGAGGTTTTTCGCTATTTTATTTCCGGCCTCCGGGGGCCCTCACGGGGCCTCGGGACCGTCAGAAGACGGCTCGGGAAGGAAGACGGGTCCTGGGGAATGGGTCTGGACCTCATGGGGGTCGCGTCGTGGAAAAATCACGACGTCGGGGGCCTGGGGACGGCGCACGGGCACACTTTTTGAGCCAGCGGGCGCCCCCGCGAGCCGACGCGGGTGCAGGCGCCGACCGGGCTACGGCGGGACGCGCCGGAAGCCAATGGAGGCACGGAGGCACGCACACGCGCATCGCAGGTTGGCGCGGAGTGCCGCACTCCCGCGGGGACAGCCGCGCGGATCTCCGGCGAGCACGGCCTCCCCGCACGCTGGCGGGGACAGCCGCGCGGCAGTGGCCAGGCCCTGCCCCGGCCAGGGCGCAGCACGCACGGCGCCGGCGCTGCCCGCACCCAGGCGACGCAGCCCTAGACAATGCTTGGGCCCCCAGATCCCCAGCGTCGTTGTTGTTCCCCTAAGAGCTTGCTGAAGGGGGTGCTTTTGTGGCAGGAGCTGGTTCCGGCCGAAGGGGAGCGGAGCCGAGACATCCTCAACAGCATTTGGTGGTCCCGGCCGTTTCGCTTAAGACATCCTCACAACTCTCGTTTCTGAGTTGGCTGGGGTTGGCCGTTTCGCTCGAGACCGGGGCCCTCACTGGGCACTGGGCCTCGGGACCGTCAAAAGACGACTCGGGATGAAAAACGGGTCCCAGGAAATGGGTCCAGACCTCTGGGGGTCGCGTCATGGAAGAATCACGACGTCGGGGGTCTGGGGAGAAGGCGGCAGGACTTCTCAGAAGCCCTCCCGCCTTCGTAGAAGCTTCCCTGTCTTCGGGGAATCTTAAGGCTCAGAAAATTTCTCTGGAGGCCAGGCGACTTCCGAGCCTTCGGAGGAGGCCCGCCTCTTCTCACTTGCCCCCCGGGCTCGCCGCCGACCATCACCTGTTCCGGCCAGCAGGACGGGCGGGCAGGTTCGAGGCTCCGGGTTTGGGAAGGTTTTCTGTTCCTCGGCCCCCGGGGTCAGTTTTTTTCGGGCCCTGGGACCACACCTGATGGACCCCCCAGGAGGGGTCCAGGGATCAATGTTGACCGCATTTGGCCCATCCCCCCCTCTGGTACGACGATCGTCCAGGGTCCGAGCCAGCCCAGACCCCCAGCCGCCTCCGAGCCGAGACTGTCGGCCGTGGGTATGATCCTCGCGGGGTCGCCGGATGCAGGACGGTTTGGGCCGTGCGAGGCGGAAGAGAGGTGCGCCCGCCCTCACCCTTGCCCGCGCAACAGGTCGGCGACGGTCTGTCGCTGCAGCCGATCTGGGAGGGGGGGGGCAAGGGTGTGCGCGGTTGAGTAGGGCTGAGGGTCAGAGGGCGCTTTCCTCGGCAGGACCACCAAAACGGGGACGTCAAGGTGGTCCAAGGCCTCGCCGGTTCAGCCGACGAAGATGTGCAACATTCAACCAGTCGCTATGTCCGAGGTTTTGGCTTGACGCCGGGTGTGTTGCATCAATTTCAGCTTGACCGAACAGGTTGGTTGTGTCTCTTGACGTCCGTTTGGGGTGTTCTGCCGACCTGATCCCCCAGACCTACTCCAGTGCGCGGTTCGGTCGGTGCGGCTGCGTCGAAGTCGGTTGCGTTCGGTCGGTGCGGTTCGGTCAGTCGGTTATTGTTCCCGGATAGCTCTCTGAGGGCTAAGAGGGCTTCAGATCGGAAGCTGGAACCGGGGGGCAGCTCCGAAGCTCTTTCTGGCGCCGGTCAAGCAGCGTCGCAGAATTTTGTTGGAGGCTGCAGCGTGTCCAGGAAGCGTTTTTCGACTCGTTCCCAACATGCGTGCCGCAAGCCTTTCCGAAGCTCATTCGGAGCTCTTTTCTCGAACCTGCCAGCTCCCCAAACATCCTCTCAAGCATCCTTGCAAGCGTTTCCCCAAGGCTTTTCACGCGGCTCGGACTGCTCCGCTATCTGGGTGTTGGACGCCACAAGTGTTATTGCCGAGTCGTTTCGTCATCCTCGGTAGCTTGCGGCCTGTCGAATTCTGTCGGTTTCGGTTTCGATGTCGGTTAGGTCGGTTTCTGGCTTTGTTGCCGCGTAGGACGGCCCTGCGAGGGAAGGAGGAGAAGGAGATGGAGGAGGGACGAGAGAGGAAAGGAGGAGGAGGAGGAGGAGGAGCAGGAGGAGGCGTTCAGTTCAGGGAGGGGGATGGAGAGAAGGGATGGAAAACGGAGACTGAGGATGGAGAAAGAGAAGAAGGAGTAGAGGAGCAGGAGGAGGAGGAGGAGCAGGAGGAGGAGCTGGAGGGAAACAGGAGGAAGGAGGAAGAGGAAGAGCTGGAAAAGGATGACAAGCGTAAGGCCAAAGCCCGTGGTGATGATATCGATTGAGCTGATGTTGATAACTAGTGCTGCTAGTGGGCGACGAGGACCACAATGAGGCTGAGGAGGGGGAGGAGGAGAAGGAGGAGGAGGAGGAAAGTTCATTTGAGTGGCCCCGCAGCTCAACACATCCCCCTCCTCCACCCCCACCCCCCTGTGACCAGCAGCAGCAATCAAGCAGCACTATCAGATTTCTCCCCTCTCCCGCCCCACTCCAACGACAGGAGGGATATGGCTAGGAGAATCCGACGCGGTCCTGCTCACTGCTTCCGGTTTTTAGCGGCAGCTCGTTATGTTTCTTGCTGCCCCGTCGCGCGCACCCCACTGGTTCTTCGAGAAAAGATGTCGTCCACCATGTTCACGGCAATACTTGTGTTGAAGACATCGCTGTCTACGATCACGACATGGTTGTTTTTGGACCGCAAGGAACAATGCTCCAGTTGTCATGCAAGAGCTTGCCCTCGGTAGTCGTTCCCCGCTGGACAGACGGACCCTCCATTGTTCATTGGATCGTATTGCGTTCGTGCGTCTCCGGAGGCACGGTAGTTCCTTTTATTCTGAACGCGCCGTGCGTTACAGAACAGAAAACCGCAGCCCGACAAGGCAGACGTGCCACCCAACGCGTTCATTTCTCTAGGTTCATATCAACAGGTCTTCGCACGGTCGGCGCGCAGTATCCTGGCGCCCGCGGCTAATCCGCCGCCGTGCGCTAAGGATTCTGCGCGGCGGCCGTTCGAGCCACGCCCACAAGTCCGTCGCGCGTGACCACCATAGTTTTCATATTTCGGGGAGGGGTGCATGTGGACTTGTTTCCAGCATGTTTCACCCAGCTGACGAATGCATCGCACAAATATCGGTTAAGTTCCGACGCGTAGCTTG